CTCACGTAACGGATATTTGGAACAACCAAAATCGAGATAGATATATACTACATTTATGTACATATGTATGTATATACCGTAAATGCCCAGAATAAAAAGAGAAGTTGATTAGTCCATCTCCGTCTGTCTGTCTGTCCGTATGTTTGTGTACACGATAACTCTAGGAATAGTTGAGATATCGGAAGAAAATTCAGTACGGGGGTTTCCCTTTATGCAGGGCAGAAGCGTATTGAAAATACAAAAATTAAACAATAACCTGGTCCCTCCCATAAAACGGTAATTTCGAAAAATTCAAAAAATTCAATATTTCCTTTATTACAGAAAACAAATTGCTAAAAAACTCACATGTTTATTATAATACATTTTTGAAAAATGGGACATATTTCTAACTTTTTAAAACAATTTGCTCAAAACATACATTTAGAATAATGTTTTAAGAAATAATTACACCCGAGCGCATTTGTGCACATGGGTATTATAACTTTGTTCGCATAGCGGTTGTTTGTTGTCTAGCCCTTCAGGTTAATAAAGATTGTAGAAAACGATTTTTGGTTGTGTGGGGTCCCGTTTGATTCCCAAAATTGGAAGGAACTGATTTTTTCAAATTGCAAATCCTAATAAAAAAATTATTTCTAAAATAGGTTACAGCAGACAATATTTAATCATTTTTTATTAATATACCGACACCTGATTGGAAGATCGACCTATCTCGGCAGCCAATTCAAAAACGCCCTAACTCAGAAAACTTTTTATGAAAGTCCTACTTCAGAATTTGGTTGAAGAACGCCCTATCTCAAATGAAAATATATTGAAAATTTGCCGAGATAGGGCGTTTTTGAACCACATTCTGAGATAGGGCGTTCTTCAACAAAATTCTGAAATAGGGTGTTCTAGAACAGTTTTTTGAGATAGGGAGTTTTCGAACTGGCTGCCGAGATAGGTCGATCTTCCACTTAGGTGTCGATATGTAGTTTTGATGTTAACAAACAAACCAAAACTTGGGTTAAAAAGCGTGCTCAATGAAATGGGTATAAATTCTTAAATATTGCACTTTCGGAAAAGGATGTTAATGAAAATAGAGACCAACGAATTTCGTTAAATATTTTTTTGTTGGAAATGTTGATAATTTGTGGCTTATTGTAAATGAAAAAACCTCCACAAACCAACAAATTCGATTTTCGAATCTTCATTAACTGCTTGACCCAATAGCGACGAAAAAAAGTACGAAGAAATTTGTATCAAAATTTTTTATAATTAAATAATGAAATGTATATGTATGTCTAAAGTTAGAACCAGAAGCTCTTAAACTTGTTAGTTTATATTAACTTATATATGTATGTACTAATTTATGCATTATGCATTATTAATGGTATAAGGGTAACACTTACTTGGAAAGCTGACAATTTTCTAAACAGAGTTGTTAAAATCATTAATAATTTATATTTTTCATAATGACATTCTAACGACACGTTCACTAAAAAATATTTCTCTAATTAAAATTTTTTATTCTTATAAATCCTTGTACAAATTTAAGTGAACAAAACTGATGATAACGCTCTATTAACTATTTTTCGTGTTAAAATTTTGCAGTCTTTTTAATAAAATGCAACCTGGCGTATTTTTCAGTGGGTTTTGTGTGTTCAAAATATTTATATCAACTGATTGGTACTGAGTGGATGTGTGCACACATAGCAAAAGCTGCATTCATCTGAGTGCTTATTCAGTGTTAAAAGTGAATCGTTCGTCATTCAATTTTTTCAATCTTTCTTTGAATATGGAAATGTGTGCAATCGTATCTACTTTGAGTGAATGTAGAATTGGAAAACTATAAGCCGCATTATTCAATAAGGAAGAATTCAATGAAAACATAATAACATAAAATTGATGATTTTTAATTTCAAATGATTTCACAGTTTTACAGCTCTG